CACACTCTCTCTCTCTCACACACACACACACAGACAGACACAGACACACACACTCACAGAGACACACACACACACACTCACTCACACACACAGACAGACAGACACACACACACACACTCACACAGACAGAGATGATGGTGATGGAGGGTCTCAGCAGCACAGTTCTGAAGTCTGATCTTGCAGACGTGGCCGCAGGTTTTTATTTACAGTTTACATTCATAAATACAGGGAACATTTACAGGCATTTACACGTGTGATGCGTTCAGCGGGGTTTCATTTCTGTTTTTTGAGTGTTGCGTGTTAAGACAGTAAGAGTGAATCTGCAGAGCCGTGTTGAGTTTCTCTCATCCTCTGATTCTCCCCAAACAAACACTAAAGCATCACCGTCTCATTATGAACGTCACTGTGAGCCGCGTTCAGTCCAGAAGCATCAAAATTAAAGAGTGAATTTGAATTGAATTGGCCAAAACACACAGGATATTCAACTGGAATGACAGGAAGAGGAATTTACTGAACCGCGATTTAAAGAAATTCAACACAACAGAGAAAGTTCATGAGTCCAACATAAACAGACCAGAAATAAAGATTTGATCTGTGAGCTGCTTAATGCTGTTTAGCTCCAATTTGGAAGATTTTGGGGTAAATTAAGGCATTATTAGGGAAATGTGAAAGTATTATTTACTGCTTCATATTTTTTTTTGGAACCTGTGATACTTTTTTCAGGATTCTTTTATGAATATAAAATAAAAAAATTTTAATCTTGTGTTACAATATACACTACCGTTCAAAAGTTTTGGAGTCAGTAAATTTTGTTCTTTCATTTTTTGAAATTAATGAATACTTTCATTCAGCAAGGATGTGTTAAATGGATAAAAAGTGGTAGTAAAGACTCATATTGTTAGAAAAGATTTTAAATAAATGCTGTTCTTTTTAACTTTTCATTCATAAAAGAATCCAGAAAAAAGTATCAGTTTCCAAAAAAAATTAAAACATGAAATAGCGCAACTGTTTCCAGCATTGATAATAAATCAGCATATTAGAATGATTTCTGAAGATCATGTGACACTGAAGACTGGAGTAATGATGCTGAAAATACAGCTGCGCATCACAGAAATACATTACAGTTTAACAGATATTCACACAGAAAACCAATATTAGAAATTGAAATAATATCTCACAATATTACAGTTGTTATTTTTTAAGAAATTCAAACAATAAATAGCGTTTGGGGCTCTTGAATAGCCACATACACACTGCAGCTAAAATTGCAGCAAAGTGTTAGTGTTGCCAGATCTTCATAGAAAAAAACAACAACAAACAAGGACAAGCACAAAAAAAAACACTAAAACACCCAAATGCTATACGTTTTATAACACCAAAAAAATCATATATCTCAGATCCGCAACGGACCACTTTATTAACTCCATAAAGTGCCTAGCTTTATGAGCTAAGACCAAACAACATGCCTAAAAGCGCTTGTAAAAAGAGGATATGGCAACACTGCAAGACAGCGCTCTCTAAAGCAGCCTCCCGAGCATAAACAAAACACAGCATGTCTATCAGCGGTAGTTTAGTTAAAATCGACAGAGAAAAAGAGTCAAAAGGCAGATACCAAGCGGCTAAATTCGTATTCACTCCCGCAAGACGACAAAATGTTGCTGTGGTTACAAATGCGGGAGTGACTGCTGTTCCGTACACACATGGAACGATAATTTACTGGACTCACTCCCGCATTTAAATGCAGTTGTCACTCATGAAACTTGCAGTGTGTACGTGACAAATCACTGAAACGCCTCAGTTCAAGCTGCACGTGAACTAGGGTTGCAAAAGGCACCTTTTTGCAACCATAACGTGAACTGATAGTCTCTTCCTCTTTACTAGTTAAAGCATGAAATAAACATGAATGAACATCAGAAGGTATCTTGTTTTAACTGTGTAAAGATGTCAATGTACCGTTTTTCAAAAGTCCACCGACGTTAATCTACTGTCCTGTCTGGTTTGTTTGTCAGACAAAAGCAGATTTCAACAGATTTTGTAATGTTGTAAAAGCAGATTCGGCATTATGATTGGTCAGACCACCTGTCAATCAAACTCCCTGCAAAGGGTCACCCTGTTTGCCACTTCAATTCAAACTGCTTTCAGTTCACTGTGATTAGGTTTGTCGCTCATACGGTGGTCATGACTTTGAGTGATCCGCTCCTGAACCTCAGGATCTTCTTCTTGAGCGCATGCGACGCCTTGATCTTCACGAAAGCTTTGGGCTGCGGCGGGTGTGATGGAGAGGGTGGAGCCAGCTGTGGACGGAGCTGCTGCGGCCAGACCAATCCGCCGCTCTCGTCGGAGTCGCTGGAGAGCGAGCTGGAGCCGGGCGACTCGGCCTCGCTCAGACTGGACTCCGACTCTCGGAGCGCGTAGCCGTCTGGCGGGAACTGATGATGATGATGATGAAGGTGTGGTTGGGCATAGACACGAGGTTTGCGCGAGCGTCTTATTGGCTGCTCAGAAGGCGTCTCGGCTTCGTCCTGACTCAGTTCTAGCGTGGAGCGCCAGCGGCGGTGACCGGAGCCGCGGCGTGTTTTGGCTTGAGCGTTGCGCTCCATAGTGTTATATTTGCGCTCTCTTTGCCCAAGCAGGCTGTTCTCGGATTGAGCGCGACATGCTTTTCGTCCGGGTTTCTTCTGCGCAATCTTGTCCTCTGTGAAGCGGCACTTCTTCGCAGCGGCTCTGAGCTGTGAGGTGGTGGGTTTGGGAGCGGCGTGCGTTCGGTGCGCGACGGTTTGAGCGTGGCACGGCTGCGCTGGGATGTATTGCGCGTTCACAAGCTCGTCGGACGATGGCGAGCGAGCGTTCTGATAGGATTCGGCTTCGCTGCTGCTGGGATCCAGAGCGCCGCAGCGGATCCCGGCGAGTCGGGAATAGCATGCATGTCTCTCCTCGGGGATGTACGCCGGATCCATGCGGCACAGGCTGCTCTGTCGGACCACGGCTCGGGCCTCGGGCCCCAGGCTGGTGCGGGGTTTTGTGGGTCGGGTGGGAGGCGAGCGGTGCTGGATCATGCCAAGAATGTAAGTTTCGGCATGCTGTGTCTGTCTGTAGTCATCTGCACCGGGTTCTTCCTCCTCTGCGTCCTCACTGGGATGCCAGATCCACGGCTTGTCTTCAGTGATGTCCTCTAGAGGCGGATAGGGTGCAGAGAAAGAGCAGGGAACCGTGGCGCGAGCGTTCAGCTCACGGCTGACGAATACGTCACCTACAGAGTGAGACGCTGACAGTTAGCATGAAAACAACATACAGCAGCCTCAACCTAAACGAACACAGATTAGTGCTCGCGTCTTGTGTTTGAATGCTTTAAACTCTTTTGAATGTTTAAATTAGCAAGGCTTAAAGACACATGCAAATGATAAGCTTTTGTGACAATGCGCAGCAGTGGCCCATCAACTGTCCTGAGCGTCTTTTTAGGCTGGCCTCAGCCAGTCGGTTGAGATCGCCGGGGGGCCCCCCCTCAGCCGTGGGCCCCTATAATCGTCACCACCTTTCACCCCACTACATGCAACACATGCAATGAGACATGAGGTAATCTGACAGCGTTGCATTCAATCCTCCACCAAGGGAGTCTCTCATCATGTCGTAGGTAAAGAACGATAACTATAAAGATAACTATATTAGCGTCCACACCAGCGGATCGTCTGTTTATTCTCAGCGCACACTCGTCTGCTGCTTTAAATTCTCCAGCTCGTTATAGCAGGATGGATTCTGATTAGGTGTCAATGTTGGGGAGGTGTGGCTTTGCAGAGTGATTACGCAGGGAGGGTGGGGATCTTGCTTTCAAAGCTAGCTTGCTATTGCTAGCCATTCCGAAATCGCCTACCCTACCTTTAACCGTTTCGAAACATTACGAAATTTCAATGGTTTGCCATTGGGGGGCGATCTCTGTAAGCCTGTGAATAATGCGAGTTCACTGAGATTGCCCATCATTAGTATGAATGAAACAGACATTACATGTGCGTATAGTGCTCGATAATGCCCACTCCATCCTATTTTGGGTAAAAATAGGAAAAATAATACTTCTCTCAAAAGAAACTTGAATTAGATATATGATAATTAGGGGTGGAACGGTTCAACTTACTCACGGTTCGGTTTGTATCACGGTTTTAGAGTCACGTTTTCGGTACGGTTTGGTATGTGCTATGTTTAGGGAAAAACTATACTGTCAAATAAAAATAAAGAAAATAAGAATAATCTAACTACAAGCAACAGCACAAATTAATACAACAGAGTAAAGATACAAATAAAATAAACGGTGATTTTCCGTTTTTTTTTTAGGTAAGTCTAACATTAGTTTTTAGATACAGAAATTGAATAAAGTAAATGTAAAACAGCATTGCATATTTGACTGTATAAATTAAAGATGAATCTTTATTAAAGTTACAAAAGCTATTAAATCAAGAGCAGTGAGTGATTTCTTTGTTGCTGTTTGATTAATATTAAGAAAGTGCTGTCACTTTAAGACACTGTAAGTACGTTCAGCCGGCTATGTCTGCTATAGGATACTTACTAAGATGGGCATTTTGACAATTTTTGTGTGAATTTGTCTATTCAAACACAATACTTCAGAGAGAGCTTAATATTTGCGCAGGTTCTGAGGCGCGGGTTTGCGCGCTTCGGATGAGCGCACGCTCAAATCTTTTCACTGCGCGCGCAAGCTCGCGTCCTCTGGCTCTTAAATGTTTAAACTGGCAAAGCTTACATGAGTTTAGCTTAAACACAGATATCAACGTGTGCTGTTCAGGTCTCACCTGTGCGCACGCGCTATCAGCACCCAGGTGATGACGGAATAAATGCTCATATTCCATCATACGGCATTCGCATTGAACAAGAGTGAATGGTTTGTCCACGTCTTTTTTTTTTTTCCATCGCTGTTGTTGTAATGTATTGGGAAGCCAGAATGCGCATCCATCAACAGAAACATACAATAGCCGAACCCTGTTTGTTTTACGTGTTATTTATAGCAAACCAGATTACAGATGCGTTGTCAGATTTAAGTTGAACCGCGGTCCTAGTGTGTCCACCCCTAATGATAATCCATGTTTTTCTTCAGTGTACAGACGGGTCTTTTTTGATCATTTGCTTTGAAAAACATTGAAATTTTAAATTGCAAATAACACTCTGCAAAGCCATCAGAACCGGTATGTACTGAACCATGTGCTAACTGTATTGTTGCATCCCTAATATATATTTACATGTCTAAACATCCAACACAACACGGCCTTTATACATGTGAGACTGCGCTTCAGTCTGTGTGTGTGTGTGAGAGAGTGTGTGTGTGTGTGAGAGAGTGTGTGTGTGTGTGTGTGTGTCAGTGTGCCATCTAACAGAGAGGGTCTTTCTTTCACCAGGACTGTATTTTCACACTGAAGCTTTAAGGTCTCATGACTCTGTGTGTGTGTGTGTGTGTGTGTGTGAGATGTCTGACAGGAAGTCTCTGCTTTAACCATTTCACTGCCAAAACACAACACACTTTCCATACATCTTAAAGGACAGTCTAGAACTAAAGATTGAAATTCAGTACTTTTCTCTCATCATCATCTCATTCTCATGAAGGTTAGGAGTTTCAGATTTCTGGCACTGAAGCCACATGGAGTGAATTGGATCTCTGTAAGTGTGTGTGTTGTGTGTAGGGAGGATATGGGTGGTCCGCTTACCAACAGACTTGGGTCTCTCAGAAAGCCTTACGCGTTCCAAGGATCAAAACCTCCTTCCCAGGGGTTCCACCTAAATCAAAATTGTGTTCTGGGTAGGGCTGCACGATAAATCGCAATCGATATTAAGCAAAAGCTGCGATATTCATGCGTGCATCTTGAAGCACAGTTCTGTGATCAGTTGGAAATCTCCATCTGAAGGCCAGAGGATACGCCCTGCAGAAGAAAATTACTCCAAATATGCCCTGCAGAAGAAATCCAGGAAATCCCTATAGCGGTAGCTGAATAAACAGAAGATTTAACTGCTTTCATTGATTCAACGTGACTAATAAACACAGGACCACGACAATATATGGTTCCCTATCTGTCGGTCACTTCGAGTTATGTCGTGACTACATAGGGGGTGTACTTGAGAGCCCCAATCTGCTCCGACTTTAAGAGAAAACGCCAATGAAATTTGGCTAGTGGATTTTGCATACCTGAGCCACTCCCCGTGCATACAGGTATAAATAGGCGACAGGTGCATCCACTCATTCAGATTTTTGCTTTGGAGCCGAGTGGGTGAATGATTTCTTCTCCACAATTCAGATTTTTGCTTCGGAGCCGAGTGGGTGAATGATTTCTTCTCCACAAAGCCTTTTCATTCTGACTGGAAGAAAGAAGCTGTTCCTGGTTGGCGTTACGGCACAAACAGCAGTGTCCCTGTTGAACACCGCCTCCGCCCCGTGCTGAGACACTGTTGAGGCCGGCGCATGGAGCCTCTTGGAGGACTGCGGCGCCCCCCCCGTGTCCCAGCCAGCCCCTAAGTCCTCTAAAAAGGCTATCAGGCTCATGGGTTGGCAGTGAGCGACGTGTTGCCTCCTCATTCTTGCCCCCGACGCCCCATATCGCCAGCAGCCAAGAGATCGCAGCTTGGGGACGCGTTGCCTCTCCACGAATCTCTGGCCAGTCCCTCCGGGGACACGGGGAGTCCTGCTGTGATGAGCCAGGACGCGATGCCTTCTGTGCCATCCAGCATGACTTCTCACCGCTGCACCACCATGGGTGCGTCGATTGTCCCTTTGGTGTCGCTTGCACGGAGCTTGGAAGCGTGGCTTGTGCTGCCCAACAAGTCCCACTGGCTCAGCTACACGATTCATTTCGCCAGGCGACCCCCAGGTTCAGCGCCGTTCTCAAGACTTTGGTGGCAGCTCGAGATGCCCCTGTCCTGCGCGACGAGATTGCTGTCCTACTGGCGAAGGATGCAATTGAGCCTGTCCCTCCAGCCGAGATGGAGTCAGGGTTTTACAGCCCTTACTTCATCATGCCCAAGAAAGGCGGTGGCCTTCGACCAATTCTGGATCTGCAAGTTTTGAATCGGGCCCTTCACAAGCTCCCGTTCAGAAGCGCATCATCAGATGCATCCAGCC